GAAAGAAAAATGTTTGAAATTTAAATTACGCAGCTAGCTAAATCCTTAATCCTAAAATTTAAATCCCTTAATTCTGTCCGTATTGCCATACTGAGGCTTTTTAATAGTCATACAAGCGAGTGGGTCTTTACCTAGATTATTTACAAATTTTCCTGTGTTCAATGACACTTAGGTTGATTGTGAACAAAATACCATCAGCAACTTTTATTGTGCCGATTAAAGATTTAATTTCCAGGATAGCCTGTCTATATTTTTGTCCCTCCCCCCATGCAGTCTTATTAATTTTGAAACCATAATTAGATCACAGAAGTAGCCCATCTCTTTTGCTTCACTGGAAATTTGACTGAATTCAATATTTTTCCTTTTTTCTTTTTTTTAAACCAAAAATTTTGCTAATGAAAATTGGCAAAGTAGAGACATGTTATTTTGACTATGTGTCCTTTATCTTAAACGACATATTATACTGATCTTTATTCTGTAAACAGCTGAAAAAATTATTGTGATTTTAAAAAAATACAAAGCTAGGAGTGACGCCAGAATTTTTTAAAGATTATAACTCAGTAAATGAGGAAGTGTGATACTGAGAATTAGTTTACAGATGTGATAGTGTGAACTTAAAAGAGGCTGAGACGAGTGTGAGGTTGAGATTCTTACAACCAGAGCACACATTTTGGAAATTATTTAACAGTTATTCAGGTAACTCTGTGTTGATTAGTTCCATTACTTGATTAAAGCACTTTAGAGAATCACCACCGAGGTAGATGCCCCTGATCTACAGACTAGCAGTTGTCATCGGCGGGAAGGTGCGTAGGCCCCTCTCAGTCCGAGGCTGATTCAGTGGTGCTTGTTTCCCGCAGCCTAGCAAAGCATGAGTCAAAGAGATGGCTGCCTGATTTATCCCTCAGGAATGTAGAACTTCCCTGGAGCCTGACTTCGTGCATTGTCATTAGTCACCTACACATCTGAAATGGTTGAGCTGCAGGGAGCACTGGACCAGGAGTCAGGGGGTCAGAGTTCTCCATGACTGTGACCCCAGTAATGATGAAACCTTGGATGTGCCTTTAGATGTGCACGAACCGTCTTACACATCTGAAACTTTGGATTTTGAACGGACTAGCTTCTCTCTAGGCTACCTTTAGCGCAGGCGTCAAGGGCTGGATCTTAGGGAGCTTTCCCTAAAACTCCAGGTGGAGCCATCTCACCTCCCTCTCATCTCCGTCATCACCATCTCATCTTCATCTCCATCTCAGTGTCTCTGTGTCCATCATCTCCATCTCCATCTTCATCATGGTGATCATCACACCCATCAAATGAGCATGCCTTTCTCCACCTTCCCCAGCCCATCTCGCCCTCCCTGGCATCCTTCGCATAGCCTAGTATCTGGCACACAGTAGCTGCTCAGTACATTTTTATCCAATGAATGGATTTTGCTCACTCTTGGAAGACCCTTCCTTTCATGCTCATGAATTTCCGAGACCACCAGTGTTCACTGTTCACTAACTAGTAGTAGGCATCGCAGTCCTGCTCGTTTAGTAGACTCCTTTGCTGTGGCCGATGCCTTAAATTTCTATTCATGATAGATGTGTCGATTAGATTAAAACTTTTAAATTTTGTTCACGTTTTGTTTCAGGGGTCTTGCCCCTCAGAATAAGCCAGAACTGCAGAAGGTGATGGAAAAGAGAAAACGAGATCAAGTCATAAAGCAGAAGGAAGAAGAAGCACAAAAGAAGAAATCTGACTTGGAAATAGAACTATTAAAACGGCAGCAGAAGTTGGAGCAGGTAGGGGTTCCTGGGGGGAAAGTGGTCCTTTGTTATTGAGATACATTCGACATACAAATATGTGTATGTGTTGAGAGTTCAAAAACGAGTGAATTTCAGCTTCGCCGAGACCACAGGGCAACTGCGTGTGGATCTCAGGATCTTATTTCCTGAGCCTTGGTTTTTAGAGTCTCATCATCTCTTGGTATTGCTCACATGACAACCCATCGGTTGTTGCTAGTGTGCAATTACCCCAGGACATATATACACGTATTCTTTTTAAAAACAACTCGAGACCAGAAGAGAATTTCTTCCATTGGGAAATAGTTTTAGGCACTTTGGAAAAGGGAGGAATGTTTTGAAAAGCCTCTCAGTTCGTAAATAACTTTCCTGTTTCTGAATTTTATTTAGCTCGAACTTGAGAAGCAGAAATTGCAAGAAGAGCAAGAAAACGCCCCGGAGTTTGTGAAGGTTAAAGGCAACCTTAGGAGAACAGGCCAAGAAGTGGCCCAAGCACAGGAGTCGTAGGCCAGCGCCTCGGAGACAGCGCGCCCTCCCCCACGCCCTGAGCCGTGAGCAGGCGCCTCCCCACCGCAGAGCCCCTGGGAGAGTCCCCTTCAGCAGAGAACTGCTGCTTAAAACGCTTGGCCTGGGTTCACCCGCGGTCCAGTCCGGGTGCATCAACTACCTGTGGCTGCTGCAGTTCCTGTTCGCCAAACAAAGGATGTTGACCAGCGCTCACGTTGGGATAATGAACCTGTGTTCAAAGACCTAAAAAAAAACAACAAAACAGGAAGAGGGCACTGGAATAAATTCTTGAGAGTTGCACTACTTGGTTTTTCTTCCAGTCCAAGTTTAGTGGGGGCACAGAGCCTTTTTTCTTTTAAAATCTAAAGAGAAATGAGTTTTATTCTTTTTTGAGTCATCTGTTAGATAATTTAGATAACACAGAAATGCGTTTGGTATGTTACATCCAGTATTTGTCAATTCTATTTTGAGAACCCCCAAATTTTCTCGTTTAAAATATCCTTTCACCTATGTTAGGGTTCACACCCAAGACGTTGATATGGAGCACAGCTATTTTGTTGACATCAGTAGGGCGAGAAGATTTAAAAACGTGAACAAAAACACGTTAACAAAAATTCGTAAATGTCCATCTTGATCTTATTTTAATTCCTTTTGGTTATGCTCCATGGTAACATTCAAGTTCAGAGACGGCACATAATAAAGATCCAGTCGTTGCATTAATAACTTAGGGTTTTTGACATTTTAAAAATTTTTTGCTGAGCTAGTCCTTTTATCTGAAACAATCTCCCCATCCTTCAGAGAATAAAAACCAGTCCATGGAACCCAAATTCAATGTCAAAAGTAGAGGATTCAAACCTTTGATCCCTCCTAAGAGCAGTGTGGGGGACATTCCCACTGGGAGCGGGGCAAGGAGTTCTTCGGGTATTTTAATGTGAAGCACATGTAGATTGGTCTCAAGGAGCCCTAGTTGGAAGATTCATAGCATCTGTCCATGTTGAATATTATTAGAATCCACGCTTTGAAAATTTCTGGGTAATGGTCACCTTCTTATTGCCTTTTTTTTTTTTCTTGTGAAGAAAGTCTCGATCTCCAGTCTCTTAGTTACAGTGATGCTGTCGATAACAGTGACGTCGATGACTGCTGTGCTGCATCTCAGGAAACCAGAAGCAAAGGGGGAAGCTGCTCAGGTTTCGCGCTCTAACTAGCGCTACTGCGAGGGAAGCCCGAGCCGTCAGTAAGAGCGAAGCCCTTGCGCAGAATCCCCTTCTGCTGCTGGTGTGGGACCTTCGACTTGGGGTGGTCTGGAAGAGTGTGTGTAGAGTCAGCACGTCCTCCCTCGGGACGATGCAGCCGGTCATTTCTGCATTGAAAACTCCTCTAAAGGCTCATGGGAAGCTGGATCCCAAGCTTTTGAATCCTTAATAAGCATAGTAGAAATTGGCTTTCTGGAATGCTTTAGTTTTTGTAGTTGACCATTAGACTCGCATTCAGTCCTCATGTGAGCAAGGTAAAAATAAACGCGGTGGTCATGTGCCGCTGGCTAGAGAATGTGTGGATTACACCTGGAGTAGGTTATCTCTCATCATCACCAAGTGTTATCTGAATAAAATAGGAGGAGGTACTTAAGGTAAAACGTTGCTGTATAATAGTTTGCTTTTGAAAGATGGAATAGTAACTTTTTTCCATCATTTTTCTTTTTGAGAGAAGAAAGTACGTTAACTGATCATCTTGAAAATACCTTTCTGATTGCACATTGACTGGAGTTCTTTCTTTGTGTACATGGACTAGTGTGATTTGTAAAATGAAGTTTCAGGACTGGCACATACATAGCTTTTAATCTAACTACATGTAAGATCTTTAGGTTCTATAGATTCTGTGTCTTTGAAGCAATTCTGTCTCTAGATAAAATTCTCAAGGGCCCTGACAGCCTCCTTTACAAGTAAGGACCAATTCTGTTCCTAGAACTTACCTAAGATTCATTTTTCAATGGGAAACAAATTACAAAAATATTTCCCTCTCAATCTCACAGATCTGCAGAATTATTTGTAGCAAGTAGTACAAGGTCTGGCCAAAAGACAACTTGTAAATAGGGTACAGTGATGTCTTACGCCTAAGTAGGGAGAGTGTGGGAGAAGAAGCTCCTGGAAGTCGTTAGATCCGCCGGGCTCACAGGCCTGAGTTTAAAAAGGCGCCAGTCTCCCCCCACAGTTGAATACTGTACAGTCCGGACCCCCGGGACTCGTGAACATCCAAGCAGTTTTGTGCTCTGAGCCACTTTTTGACAAAAATGGCTCCATTTTTCCACTCTGTGGTTTTCTTAAAATAGTTGTTTTATAGTCTCCTAGTAGTAGTGTTGCTTTCTAAGCTATAACAGTTGACTTTATTCTTCTACTCTGAAAAATCTTGACTTGTTTGAGTGTATATAATATATATAAAAGGAGCCTTAATGGATTTGTTTTCATAATTTAATATTTTTTTGTATTTGCTCTTGTATAATTGTTTTTAACAGAAGGTATTACAGAATTGAGGGTGGAATTCTTAGAACCAAAGTTATTCTTAATAAAAATTGCCACACGCTTGGATCATACAGCTGTGTTTGATCTGGTTGAGTTGAACGTCTGGGACTGAAGGGTGAGGGGGGCGCTGCGTTCAGTTCAAGGACTAGAAGGTGGTTCTAGGGTCTCTCTTAGTGACCGTCCTTCTGAACGACCTTCTCCCTAAATCAGGTAAGTCCTTTTGCTTTGTGTCAGTCAAAACAATTTATCATGTCAAACAAATTCACGTTAAGGTATTATGCTACACGTCGTATAGAATATGTGCTATTTTAGCAGCAGCTGTCAGTCCAGATCAAAGTATTCTGCATTTTAGATAGCCTGGTAGGACAGTGGGAGATATTTTTTAGGAAAGGCCATTTTTTAGTGCTCGTGAGCTAGTACATATGGCATATCTTAAGTGTGACCATAAAATTATTTCGCTTATGCAACTAAGTTAATGTTGGCCTCAAAAAAGTTACTTTGGGAAGCTGTACGATCACATTGCACTTACTGGTTAAATTAGTTTGGAAGTTCCAGTCTCTTTACTTTTCCAACCCAAGTTATTATTCAACTTAATCACCCAATGCCTAGTGTCTTTGGACTCTTGAAAATCAAATCTATTCAGGGCAGCGAACATTTGCTATATCTAAGGCCAGTGCAGAGGGTGGGTTTCAAAAAATGATTCCAACAGTAGCTGCATCCCTAGAATAACTAGGCAGTGTCCCAAGGTGACAGTTTTCAGGCTGTCCACTTCACTGGACCACTATATGTTTATTTGTTTCTTGTAGGAATAGATTTGAAGGAAGACAGGGCAATTCATGTGTTTGGTAAGACCTAACATGCTATTGTACAGCTAAAAGAAAGTATTAGAATACTATTGGGCTTACCTTACTAGTATTAGAGAAACAAATAGTTTTCTTTCTAAGGCCTTAGGGCAAATGAAATCTTGATGAACTAGCCTCACAATTACAATGTCTACTTTTTTTCCTCACAAGAAAATGCAGTCTGATTATCAACTGGGGGTGTTTTGAATGCCTCCCCACTTGCTCCTAGGTTTCCTAGTAAGACACTAATTGCCACTCACCTCGCTGGTAGAAAGGGTGCTTGGTTATTTCTGGAAAGTACGCTGATTGCTGCTGGGGTGTTGTTGCTTCCAAGTCTCTCGAGATTAGGAAATACATTTGTGTCAGAGTAAATACGTATTCATATCTTTGCATTAATACTTTATAGCTATTGAAAATCATAAGTTCACGTCAATAGCCCCAATCGTAACCCAGAAGCACATTGTCGCTGTCCCCCTTTCCATGTTTGTAGCTAGCTCCCTTCTCTAGCAGGGAGAGTCTGGCTGCCACCCTCCTCCACGTACATACGTATTTCTTCAGTCGTCCTGTCTGTAACTCCTCCATTCCCTGAGATGACTTTGCTCAGCCATCATCTTCGCCCTGACTTTGCCTGGTGGTATTTTGACTGAATTATTCAGGAAGGAAAGAGGAAAACACCATTTTTTCTTGAGCATTTTCAACATTTATTGCGAATTTAATTAAATCGCCTCAAACAAAAACTGCAATTACAGATTTAGGGAGCCTGATTGTGTTGAACCTTTCAGACTCCTCAGATAGCACAGGAACCTTGCTTGATGTATTAGGGCTCTCCAGAGAAACAGAGCCAATAGGAAATAGATATAGAGGAAGCACATGTATATAAACATATACAAAACGAGATTGATGATGAAGAATCAGCTCGTGCGATTATGGAGGCTGAGCATTCCCACGGTCTCTATCTGTAAGCCGAAGACCCAGGAGAGCCAGGGTGTAGATAGCCCGATCTGGAAGCCTGAGAACCAGGGGAGCTGATGGTGTAAACCCCAATTTGAGGGCAGGAGACAGAGAGCTGGGAACCTCCCTCCTCTTCCTGTTCTCCATGGGCCCTCAGCGGACTGGCTGATACGCGCATCCATCCACGCTGGAGAGGGCCATCTGCGGAGCCGACCAGTCAGCTCAGATGCTGCTCTCATTTGGAAACACCATCCAGGCATCCCCAGACGTTGCGTCTATCGGGGTGCCCTTGTGGCCCAGTCGAGTCCACACGTAAAAGTAACCATTGCAGTCGAATGCAGTCGTTAACACATTTAAGAAAATAAGTTTGTTTTACAAAATCAAATTTTGAGCTTTGTGTTCAGTAATTTTTTTACTTTAAAAAGATTTTCCTACTATTATGGCCTTATCATCATATCCTACTAGGGATTCAGTTATACTTTATTATATGTCCTGGGCTTGTTGTAATCTTACCAAGCCTAAAAAAAAAAAAAAAAAAAAATACTTGCTCAGATGAACTCCAAGTTCTTAATCTGGTAATCTGGGTTGTTGGCTCATTTTTACTTAGGACATGGAGCCTGGTGCACAGTCCAAGCTGATTCAGCCATGAGCCACAGGCCTTGGGTAAGTTCTTTTAAATTCATTCTTACTTGTTTTATCATGGGATTTTAAATACCTCGCCATTTATATTACTTTAATTTTTTTTTTTTTTTCAAAACTTGGTGTCTTTCCCAGAAACAAAATATGCCTTAATTGTGCATGGCCAGCATTACCTAGCTCATTGTCCTCCCTTTATATTGTCTTGTCCGTTAGTAGTATTAAACATTTAGGTATGCCTTATTGATATCTTATATATAATTAGTGGGATCTTACTGAGACAAGACTCATCAAGTCCGTGTGATGAATTCTTTGGTATGAGACATTTGCCTATTATCATTATCCATGTATCATCTTGGACATACTGTTGTTAGATCTTTTTAAATTTGTTGTTGTATGTGATCAACTGGACTCCTTTTCTACTTGGTTATTATGTGACCACTGATAGTGATCAATCTTCTTGCACTATAGTTTTCTAATTTCTTTATCTTTCATATTTCTTGTGTTTATTCTTTCCTGTATGCATAGCTAGAAACAAGCACATGGCCATAATTTCTGAAAATGTTTATTCTTAATAGAACAAACAAAATATACTCATATACAAATATTCCCGTAAACATAAATGATAATCATCTTACTTTGTATTCCAATTCCTTTTTCTCTTGGGTTTCATGAATCTGTGGCTTTTCATAGATTCAACTTAAAATTTTCATCTTTTTTGGATGCTTAGAATATTATAACTTGGCTAGTAAAAGCTCCTCAAACTTATTCCTTTGTTTTTATTTTTGAGTTTTATAAAGTGTTGCTTCTAACAGGAAAGCATCCTTAGTTTGTCACAACAGTAGGATGTTTCAGACCATCTTTTTTTTTTTTTCTCCTGACATAAGGCATAGAACTATGTGCCTTTTAAAGAGTCCTGTGATTGGAGGACTTCTTGTTGGAGAATAGAAATAGTGGTCCTACTTCTAAATATTTACTGAGGGATTTTCTTTTAAAATAAGGGGAATTGCCTGACCAGATAATGAAAACACATTTTCAAGTAATAGTAATTTAACTGGGCTAATTACTGGCCCAGAGTAGACGTATAGATCAATGGAGCCGAATAAAGTCCAGAAAGAGACTTATTTACATATTGAAATTTATGATTGCGGTAGAATTTTATTTCAAATCAATTAGCAAAGGATAAACAATGAAAGGTTGTAGGGTCCTTATAACCAAACAAATATGTATTCCTCTATGTAATGCCACATGTAAGACTAATTTTTAAGTTTATTAAAATGTTCAGCATAAGAATAAAACTATAGAAGTATTAGAAGAAAATATAAGGGGATTTTTTTCATAATCCTAGGAGTGGGAAAGATTTTCAAGCAAGGTATCTAATCTAAAATTTACAATGAAAAAAAGTGACAGATTTAACTAGTGGAAATTAATTTTTTTGTATGAAAAAGATTAAAAGACAGCAGACTAAGATATACCGCATATATTGCAGCAAATGAATAAAACTATATTACATGCAGAATATTTATAAATGTCAATCCAATAAAACATGAACAAATATATAACAGGCAATTCATAGAAGAAGAGATACAAATGGCCCTCGACACATGAAGAAATGCTCAGTCACTAGTATCAGGAAAATGCAAATTAAAATCACAATGAGGTAATTTTACCCAAATATTCACAAAGCAAAAATTAAATGATTAATAGCCATTATTGGTGAGGGTGTGGAGAAACAGATACTAATATTCATCCCTTTGGTGAGAGTACAGATTGATAAAGTCAACTTTAAAATGTGTATATTCACACCGATTAGAATGGAAATAATGAAAAAGACAGTGTTGACTAGGATGCTGGTGAGAATGGGAACCTGTGCAGCCACGTTGGAAAAGTCTGATGGTTTCTTATATAGCCTCATGTGACTCAGCAATACTCCTCCTAAGTATATACCCAAGAGAAGGGAAGATATATATCCACACAAAGTCTTGCACGAAGATGTTCATAGCAGCATTATTCGTAATAGCGAAAAAGTGGAAACAACCCAAACATTTATTAACTAGTGAATGGATGAACAAATGCATGTCCATGCAACGGAATATTATTTGGCCATAAAAAGGAACGAAGTACTAATACAGGCTACGACATCATCAGACCTCAAAAACATTATGGTCAGTGGAAGAAGGCGAACAGAAAAGGCGACATAGTATATGACTACGTTTATATGCAACGTCCAGAATGGAAAAGGCTGTCGGGATGGAAGGTAGATTTGTAGTTGCCTGTGGCTGGGGGCGGACATGGTGGGCATGGGGAGTAACTGCAAATGAGCATAGCCTCCTTTTGGGGGGTGATGGAAATCATTTAAAATGGGATGGTTGCACAATTTTAAGATACTAACAATCACATTGGTATCAATATACCAATACCACTTAAAAATGGGTAAGTTTTATTGTATACGAGTTATACCTCAACGAAGCTTTTAAAATGCACGTGTCCTTTGATATACATTTACATTTCTAAGAACTTGGCCTTTGGAAATATTTATGTGGACAAAGATTGTTGTTCAAAGATATATTTGCAGCATTTCTTATAGTTTCTCTTAGAAACAACCCATCTTATACAGTAGTTACTAGATTAAGTACAATACA